CTTTGTGATCCACCCTGAGCTTTGCTTTGTTTTGCTTGACTGGTCTTGTGACCCCTTGTTCTCCCCCACTATGCCTATGGGGGTGTGTCAAATTATAATGTTATGTAGGCTATAGTGGGGTAGCCTATATGGGGTACACATTTCTAGGGTTGCATATTTGTATCACTTTCGTTCCTTTGTCAATCATACTCGTTTCAGTTTTCTCAGCGATGTCGCTTGCGTCTGTAACAACTTCGAAGGGGCGATGTGGGTCAGCGATGCGCAGGACGGGTGGTGAACAGAGAACATTTTTCAGGGCAGAGAAGGCAGCATGCTCTTTCTCCCCCCACGTAAAAACGACCCCCTTGCGTAGTAAGTCTGTCAGCGGGGCAGTTAATCGTGCCATGTCGGGGACGAACCGACGAACATAATTAACGAACCCGAAAAAACTCTGCAGTTCCGTGATGTTCGTCGGGGGACGCCACGCTTTGACCGTATCCAGCTTCTTGGGGTCGATTTCAACTCCAGCCTCCGAAATAACGTGCCCTAAAAATTCTAGCCTGCCCCGAAAAAACTCGCACTTAGGCCCTTTGGTGAGAAGCCGATGTTCCTCTAAAATTTTAAACACTGCTTCGAGATCTACTAAGTGCTGCTGCTTGTCGCGACTGTAAACGAGGATGTCGTCGAGGTAGACGATCACGCATTTATCTAAGAGTGGCCTAAACGCCTCGTTCATGGTCATCTGAAATGTTGCGGGCGCGTTGGTCAGCCCAAAAGGCATTACCGTGTACTCGAACGACCCGTACCTAGTCCTAAATGCTGTCTTGGCGTAGTCCGACGGTTCGACCCTAATCTGATGGTAACCCCCCCATAAGTCTATTTTTGAAAATACCCGTGCTGTTCGCAGTTGGTCGATCAGTTCGTCGGCGCGGGGAATGGGGTACCGCGATTTGACTGTTACCCTGTTAAGCGCTCGGTAATCGATGCACATGCGAAACCCTCCGTCTTTTTTTGGTGTGAACAGGATCGGTGCGGCGAACGGTGACGAGCTCGGTCGGATAAACTGCTTCTCTAACAAATAATCTAACTACTTCCTCAGTTCGTCGAGCTCGGGCTGTGTCAGCCTGAACTGGCGCTGTACTGTTGGCGGTGCCCCCGGTTCTAACTCGATCCTATGGTCATGCGCCCGCTGAGGTGGCAGCCCTTGCGGTAAGTCGTCTGGAAAAATCCCCGAGTACCGTTTCAACAGTTCCTGAAGTTCGGGCGGTACTGCTCCCAACAGTTCCTGAAAATCGCTCGGCTGCTCCTCTTCTTCCACTAATGCTATATCTACTGCGTACACGTCAGCTCCAGCGGCGACAACCCGTTTCATCGTGATGGCGTTGACGTGGACTGTTGAAGACTCGGGTGATCGCCAGCGAGGTAGTTCGACCCAGTTACCACTACTTCGCACGGTGCAGCTACCCGTCGTCCAGTCAATTCGCGGGTTATACCGTCGCAGCCAATCATGCCCCAATAAAATATCGTGCCCATCCAGTGTTGTTGCGAGCATTTCCTGTGTAAACCCGAAATTCCCTCCGCAGCGGACTTTTACTCGCTCCACCTTTTTCCGTATGGCCAGTGGCGTGCCGTCGACTAAGCGTGCGTCTATCTCAGGTAGGCGACGGTTAAGTGTTAACTGTAGTTTTCGTGCGGTTGCGGTATTAACTAAACTGTGACTCGCTCCTCCATCAATAAAAATCTTCACTGCTGCTCCCTGTATTTTCCCGTGGATCAGTACTGGGCAATCCGTCGCTGTACCCTCCTTATTCATCCGAGCCCGATCGATGGCGTGAATCGGTACTGTGACTCGGTGAGGGTCGGTGCGGTTGGGCGAGCAGGCAGTCTCGTCAGTAGTTGGCCCAACTTCTACTGACTGCTGGCGTTTCCCTGCCTCTGAGACTCCCTCCTCTGCTCTGCTCCCCGGCGCCTCAGCTCCTCTGGGCATTCGCTCTTGCGATGGCCCGGCCTGTTGCAAGCAAAGCAGCGCCCCTTAAACGGTGCGGCAGCTGCATTCGTCGCAACAGCGTTTACAGTGGCGTGCTCGATCGGTCCCCGAGGGCAATGTCCGTAGTAGGATCCCGGTCTCGGTCGGCGTAGAATGTCAATTTTCTCGGCGAGCGCGAGAATCTCGTTGAAGTTGGAGAGTCCGCGCAGCATGATTTCGTGCGAGATATCCGGCTTTAGCCCCCCGACGTAACGGTCCACCCGCTCCGCTTCGTGCATGTAGTCGACCTGCTCGCAAAGTGCGAGAAAACCGCTCGTATAATTTTGAACCGACCCGAGCTGCCGCCAAGTGTGCAGTCTCTGACGCGCCGAAATGGAAGCCGCAATCGGCTCGAAGCGCGCCCGAAGCCCTGCGCACCACGCATCCCACGTGCTGTATTGGGCGGTCTTGCAGAACGAACTCCAGGTGACAGCTGGACCCGTGGGCCCTTCCTCGTGCGACGGTGGCTCGTAGGCGCGTGGTGACGTCACAATGACTCGCCACCAGTCCATGGCAGGGCCCCTTAGCAGCGAAACTGCATACCGAATCTTCGCGGCATCCGACTCGACGTAGTTCGCGTCGAAGAAGACGTTCATCGTGAAGACCCACGATTGAACCGTCGGACCTCCACGTTGGCTTGGGTCAAAGCAGGGCGGGCTTTGTGGCTTGAGCGGCATTGGTGCCATAATGGCCTGTTGGCCGCTTGTCGCCGCGAATTCCACATGCCGACGGGCTTCACGGGGCTCCCGCGGGCTTTGTACGACCCTGCTTCCTCCCATGCCAGGCATCGGCCGGGCGGCGCCATCACTGGCTGCGCCTGAGCGTTGTCCCATGCTCTCGTGTTGCGTTGGTGTGCCGGACAAAATGATGATCGGCTCGTCCGATTGTGCAGATGCATTTGTCAGTGCGTGTGATGTCGCTGGAATGTTCACCGTGGATTGTTGACGGGCGGAGTCACGTTCCGCCGTGAGCGTCGCGATTTCGAGCGCCGAGTCTTCAAGTTGGCGCACAAGACGATCAAGCTGCTCCTGCGTCAATGTGGCGAGCGTGAAATCGGCCATGGCGGGGGTGTCGGGCGAGCTCAGCGAGAGCCTCGGTCGTGGCCGTGCGTGCTTACGAGAGAGCACTACGAGCGGCGGTGCTGTATCGCTGAGAGACGTCTACCCCCCCAAAAAATTGAGATAGTGGGGAAGCGAAAATGTGGGTGCGGTCCGAGAGGAGATCGTAGGCTCTGATTACCAAGTGTTACGAGTGCAATTGAGTAAATGAACGGGAATTGCACATTCGAAGCAAGAATCCAATGAGCGAAGGCATGAGCGAAGAATATATAGCGAAACTACAGTGGTAACGGTAATGGACTGTGGTTGTCGCGTGACGGGCCTGGGACTGAGGTTTGGGAAAGTGTCGAAGCGGAGGCCCGGAGCGCGGGTTACCAGCCGAGCCGTGAGGTTGGGGTGCGATGTGCGAAAATGGCGGGCTGATTGTCGATGCGAGGGTCGCGAATGGTAACGGTGCTGACTGTGGTGCTATAGTGATGTACGCGTTGAGCAGGGATGCGAAGTAAGGAAAAATGATTTTCCTTACAACTGCATGCGCCGCCTGACTTGAGGATTTTTCGAGCTGGTGTTTTTTCGAGGCTGGTTAAAAATTCTCTATCGCCCATAACGCCAGCCGAACCGGGCCTATAGTGAAACGAAAGCGAGCGCAGACGTGGCACGAGATGCACTTGCTTGCTAGTAGTAGCATCCTCGATACTATTTATTCATTTCGACTCCAGCTCAACTTCTAGACACGATAGATCCACCTCGATTAAGAAACCCTACAAAATGAAGTGGAGGGCCAACAAGTACCTACAAACATTTGATACGTGAGGTTGAGCGTCTTGTTGAATAAATATCAATACAGGTTTGTCACTGTCTGAGAGACCAAGCGGACTTGGACTCTTGTTACCGTATCACCCCGGATATAAGCGCATATGCGCTTATAAAAAAAAAAAATTGAGGGGGGGCGCTTGTAATTGAGTAACAGCCATAAGCGCCGGCGCTTATATAATGACAAATACGAAATTATATATTTAGAGCACCAAGTTGTTCATTTTCTTTTTGCCATTTCAACCGAGTCGAAATATTTTAGCGTCACCATGCAGAATCTCGCGCAAGCGATATTCTGGGTTCACACACAGGCAAAGCCACGTCATTCCAGCACCTCCTGACTGGACGCGCAGCCAGTCAGGTCTTCACGAGTCAAACGAAGCGAAATTGAAAACTGACTCGCTGCAAAAATGGATTTCGTTACTGTTTTAGGAAATGATTTAAATCGCATATGCGCTTATAATAAGTAAAGGTTTTCTAGGGGGGGCGCTTATAATTGAATTCCGGCCATAGGCGCCATGCTCCAGATAGAAGCGCCGGCGCCTTTAAAGCCCGAGTACAGCATGGTAATTTTCAAGTTCAAGATTCTGGAACTTGAAGTCGCCAATAACAGGGCTACCCTACTTGTTTTGAGAAAATTCTCGCGACCCCAGGCAATCGTCCTGCGACAACGGAACCCGAGTGCCCAAAACCAGAACTGACGCGATGATCGCCAACCATTTGTACTATTCACCACTCACATAACTTGCTTACCAAGTAGTACTCATAGGCTAGGAGGCTCCAAGGCAAAACCTAGTGCTAGTTGGCAAAAGCGAGTCGTTGATAGGTGTTTTTTTTTTGTGCGGAAGGAAATATAAGTCCACCTCAACCATCTTAGTCAGTGCACGCTCTAATCTCTCCCTCACGTCACCGGTCTCGTGTTACAACCCGTACACCCACGGCACTTACGTTAGTAAACGAGATTCGCGTTACTCGAGTCTTGCATTCAAGCTCGCGTCGCACACGCAGGATCTTGTCACACTTGCTGCCATTCAGCCTCGTGTCACGATCGTACCGTTTTAGGCACGGGTCGCTCACGCGAATGCCGTACTGGTTCGCGTAACGCACTCAGCCGTTAGTCGCACATGTTCCTCCTCGTCGGCCGCTCTTGCCCACGTCAGACCGCTTTCCTCGTCGCCCGCGCTTTCCCTCATTACCCTCCCCGACCCTCTGGTCGCATATGTTCCCGTAGTTGCCCACGCTCTCCCACGTTAACCACACATCCCCTCGTCGCAATTGCTAGTAGTAAACATACCGCGCTTCAGATCGTCACCCGCGCTCCCCCTCATCACCCTCGTCGACCCACACCGATCCTCGCCGCCCTCACCTCCCTTGGTCACCGACATTCCCTCTCGTCGCTCGCGCTTCCCCTCATCACCCGTGCCGACCCTCGCCGCCCTCGCCTCCCCTCGTCACCCGCGCGTCCCGTCGTCGGGCTTGCCTCCCAGACACTCGCGCTTCCCCTCGTCATCCGCGTTTCCATCCGCTCTTCCCCTCTCCCCATCTCACCATCTCCAGCCCATCCTTCCTCCCTCATTCCTTCCGAAGGGGTGGGACAGATGGGGAGGAACAGATGGGGAGGAACGGATGGGGAGAAACAGAGGTGGTCGCTTCCGCCACCACAATCGAACAGCGTTTTGATTCCCTCTCTGCTCCCCACCATCCTCCCCCCAGCTCTCTCCCCGGCATCTGCCCCCGTTCCCCCCATCCTCTTCCCTGTTTCCCCGTATCCCCTGCCGTGCTTCCCCCCATCCTATCCCCTCTTACCCCATATCCCCTGCCCTGCTTCCCCCCATCCCCTTCCCTGCTTCCCCCCATCCCCTTCCCTACTTCCCCTCATCCCCTTCCCTGCTTCCCCTCGTCCCATCCCCTGCTTTCCCCCATCCCCTTCCCTGCTTTCCCCCATCCCCTGCCTTGCTTCCCCCCATCCCCCTCCCTGCTTCCCCCCATCCCCTTCCCTGCTTCCCCCCTTCCCTTTCCCTGCTTCACCCCATCCCCTCCCCTGCTTCCCCCCATCCCGTCCCGTGCTTCCCCCCATCCCCTTCCCTGCTTCCCCCCATCCCCTTCCCTGCTTCACCCCATCCCCTTCCCTGCTTCCCCCCATCCCCCTCCCTGCTTCCCCCCATCCCCTTCCCTGCTTCACCCCATCCCCTTCCCTGCTTCCCCCCATCCCCTCCCCTGCTTCCCCCCATCCCCTCCCCTGCTTCCCCCCATCCCCCTCCCTGTTTCCCCCCATCCCCTTCCCTTCTTACCCCCATCCCCTCCCCTGCTTCCTCCCATCCCCTTCCCTGCTTCACCCCATCCCCTTCCCTGCTTCCCCCCATCCCCTTCCCTGCTTCCCCCCATCCCCTTCCCTGCTTCCCCCCATCCCCTTCCCTGCTTCCCCTCATCCCCTTCCCTGCTTCCCCCCATCACCTGCCCTGCTTCACCCCATCCCCTTCCCTGCTTCCCCCCATCCCCTTCCCTGCTTCCCCCCATCCCCTTCCCTGCTTCCCCTCATCCCCTTCCCTGCTTCCCCCCATCCCCTGCCCTGCTTCCCCCCATCCCCCTCCCTGCTTCCCCCCATCCCCCTCCCTGCTTCCCCCCATCCCCTTCTCTGCTTCCCCCCTTCCCTTTCCCTGCTTCACCCCATCCCCTCCCCTGCTTCCCCCCATCCCGTCCCGTGCTTCCCCCCATCCCCTTCCCTGCTTCCCCCCATCCCCTTCCCTGCTTCCCCCCATCCCCTTCCCTGCTTCCCCCCATCCCCTTCCCTGCTTCACCCCATCCCCTCCCCTGCTTCCCCCCATCCCCTCCCCTGCTTCCCCCCATCCCCCTCCCTGTTTCCCCCCATCCCCTTCCCTTCTTACCCCCATCCCCTCCCCTGCTTCCTCCCATCCCCTTCCCTGCTTCACCCCATCCCCTTCCCTGCTTCCCCCCATCCCCTTCCCTGCTTCCCCCCATCCCCTTCCCTGCTTCCCCCCATCCCCTTCCCTGCTTCCCCTCATCCCCTTCCCTGCTTCCCCCCATCACCTGCCCTGCTTCCCCCCATCCCCTTCCCTGCTTCCCCCCATCCCCTTCCCTGCTTCCCCCCATCCCCTTCCCTGCTTCCCCCCATCCCCTTCCCTGCTTCACCCCATCCCCTCCCCTGCTTCCCCCCATCCCGTCCCGTGCTTCCCCCCATCCCCTTCCCTGCTTCCCCCCATCCGCTTCCCTGCTTCCCCCCTTCCCCTTCCCTGCTTCCCCCCATCCCCCTCCCTGTTTCCCCCCATCCCCTTCCCTGCTTCCCTCCATCCCCTTCCCTGCTTTCCCCCATCCCCTGCCCTGCTTCCCCCCATCCCCTTCCCTGCTTCCCCCCTTCCCTTTCCCTGCTTCACCCCATCCCCTTCCCTGCTTCCCTCCATCCCCTTCCCTGCTTCCCCCCATCCCCTTCCCTGCTTCACCCCATCCCCTTCCCTGCTTCCCCCCATCCCCTTCCCTGCTTCCTCCCATCCCCTTCCCTGCTTCCCCCCATTCCCTTCCCTGCTTCCCCCCATCCCCTTCCCTGCTTCACCCCATCCCTTTCCCTGCTTCCCCCCATCCCCTCCCCTGCTTCCCCCCATCCCCTCCCCTGCTTCCCCCCATCCCCCTCCCTGTTTCCCCCCATCCCCTTCCCTTCTTCCCCCCATCCCCTCCCCTGCTTCCTCCCATCCCCTTCCCTGCTTCCCCCCATCCCCTTCCCTGCTTCCCCCCATCCCCTTCCCTGCTTCCCCTCATCCCCTTCCCTGCTTCCCCTCATCCCTTTCCCTGCTTCCCCTCGTCCCCTCCCCTGCTTTCCCCCATCCCCTTCCCTGCTTCCCCCCATCCCCTTCCCTGCTTCCCCCCATCCCCTGCCCTGCTTCCCCCCATCCCCTTCCCTACTTTCCCCCATCCCCTGCCCTGCTTCCCCCCATCCCCCTCCCTGCTTCCCCCCACCCCATCCCCTTCCCTGCTTCCCCCCTTCCCTGTCCCTGCTTCACCCCATCCCCTCCCCTGCTTCCCCCCATCCCGTCCCGTGCTTCCCCCCATCCACTTCCCTGCTTCCCCCCATCCCCTTCCCTGCTTCCCCCCATCCCGTCCCCTGCTTCCCCCCATCCCCTTCCCTGCTTCCCCCCATCCCCTTCCCTGCTTCCCCCCATCCCCTTCCCTGCTTCCCCTCATCCCCTTCCCTGCTTCCCCTCGTCCCTTCCCCTGCTTCCCCCCATCCCCTTCCCTGCTTCCCCCCATCCCCTTCCCTCCTTCCCCCCCTGCTGCCTCCCATCACTCTCATTCTCCTTCCTCCCGCACTCACACCTCTCAGTCCTCTCGCACTCTCTCTCTCCGTCCTCTCGCACTCGCACTCTCCTCCCCACCACCCTCAGCCCTCCTTCCCCTCACACCCACCCATGTTCCCACCTGCCCTCCCCATCCCTGCCTTTCCCTCCCTGCCCTGCCCTTCCCTTCTCCATCCCTTCTCAAACCTTCCCTTTCATGTCATGCCCTCACCTTCCCCCTCATCTTCCGCCCTCCAGTTGCCATGCATGTGCACCCATCACTGTCTCCCCATACCGGTACATGCTTTCATCATGTGCGCTTGCTTGTGTTCCCCTGCAGTTGTTCCCTTGGCACCTCACACCACTTCCCCCATGTTCCATCACACAATTCTTTCTGCCTACTCCACTCTCCAAATTTTCAGTTGTGAAGCAGAGGAGCAAGCTGAGGCGCAGCTAGAGCTAGTCCATGCTTTACGCCGTACCACCACCTGTTTCTTGTGTGTTGTATGCAAGCATGATACTGTATTACTGTTGAAGATATCCATTTCAAAAGCGCAATATGTTTCTGCAGTGCAATATATTCTTCCAAGATGCATGGGCAAGAGTGTCAGAAGGGTAGATAGAGGCATGATTCCACTTTTGATTGTACCCTTCTCAAGGACTTGAAAAAAACATGAGGGATGGGATGATGGGCTTCGGCGATTTGCAGTGCCAGAAAATCTTCATTGGTGTCACTTCACTATCCAAGGAGAGGGAGGGAATACGAGGGATGGGGAGGGGGAACAAGACTAAAGTCAAACAGGGGAGATAGGGAAGAGGGGGGAGAGGAAAGCAGGGCTGAGAGGGAAAGACATAAGTACCGTAAAAAAAGGGAGGATAAGGGAAGAGGGGAGATAGGAAGAGGGGGGGAGGGAAAGTGTGAGATAGGAAGATGAAACGAGGTGAAGAAGAGGGGGAAACGAGGGGAAGCAGGGGGGGGAACGAGGGACAGCAAGGGCGGAAACGAGGGGAAGCAGGGGGGGAAACAAGGGAAAGCAAGGGGGGAAACGAGGGGAAGCAGGGGGGGAAACCAGGGAAAGCAAGGGAGGGAAATGAGGGGCCAGCAGTGGGGAAAATGAGGGGAAGCGGGGGGGGTGGGGGGAGGGAAATGAGGGGAAGCTGGGGGGAAAATAAGGGAAGCAGGAGGGTACAAACAGAGATAGCAGGGAGGGAAATGAGGTGAAGCAGGGAGGGAAATGAGGTGAAGCAGTGAGGGAAATGAGGTAAAGCAGTGAGGGAAATGAGGTGAAGCAGTGAGGGAGATGAGGTGAAGCAGGGAGGGAAATGAGGTGAAGCAGTGAGGGAAATGAGGTGAAGCAGGGAGGGAAATGAGGTGAAGCAGGGAGGGAAATGAGGTGAAGCAGGGAGGGAAATGAAGTGAAGCAGTGAGGGAAATGAGGTGAAGCAGGGAGGGAAATGAGGTGAAGCAGTGAGGGAAATCAGGTGAAGCAGTGAGGGAAATGAGGTGAAGCAGTGAGGGAAATGAGGTGAAGCAGGGAGGGAAATGAGGTGAAGCAGTGAGGGAAATGAGGTGAATCAGTGAGGGAAATGATGTGAAGCAGTGAGGGAAATGAGGTGAAGCAGTGAGGGAAATGAGGTGAAGCAGGGAGGGAAATGAGGTGAAGCAGTGAGGGAAATGAGGTGAAGCAGGGAGGGAAATGAGGTGAAGCAGTGAGGGAAATGAGGTGAAGCAGGGAGGGAAATGAGGTGAAGCAGGGAGGGAAATGAGGTGAAGCAGGGAGGGAAATGAGGTGAATCAGTGAGGGAAATGAGGTGAAGCAGTGAGGGAAATGAGGTGAAGCAGTGAGGGAAATGAGGTGAATCAGTGAGGGAAATGAGGTGAAGCAGGGAGGGAAATGAGGTGAAGCAGTGAGGGAAATGAGGTGAATCAGTGAGGGAAATGAGGTGAAGCAGGGAGGGAAATGAGGTGAAGCAGGGAGGGAAATGAGGTGAATCAGTGAGGGAAATGAGGTGAAGCAGTGAGGGAAATGAGGTGAAGCAGTGAGGGAAATGAGGTGAATCAGTGAGGGAAATGAGGTGAAGCAGGGAGGGAAATGAGGTGAAGCAGTGAGGGAAATGAGGTGAATCAGTGAGGGAAATGATGTGAAGCAGTGAGGGAAATGAGGTGAAGCACTGAGGGAAATGAGGTGAAGCAGGGAGGGAAATGAGGTGAAGCAGTGAGGGAAATGAGGTGAAGCAGGGAGGGAAATGAGGTCAAGCAGGGAGGGAAATGAGGTGAAGCAGTGAGGGAAATGAGGTGAATCAGTGAGGGAAATGAGGTGAAGCAGTGAGGGAAATGAGGTGAAGCAGTGAGGGAAATGAGGTGAATCAGAGAGGGAAATGAGGTGAAGCAGTGAGGGAAATGAGGTGAAGCAGTGAGGGAAATGAGGTGAAGCAGTGAGGGAAATGAGGTGAAGCAGTGAGGGAAATGAGGTGAAGCAGGGAGGGAAATGAGGTGAAGCAGTGAGGGAAATGAGGTGAAGCAGTGAGGGAAATGAGGTGAAGCAGGGAGGGAAATGAGGTGAAGCAGTGAGGGAAATGAGGTGAATCAGTGAGGGAAATGCGGTGAAGCAGGGAGGGAAATGAGGTGAAGCAGGGAGGGAAATGAGGTGAAGCAGGGAGGGAAATGAGGTGAAGCAGGGAGGGAAACGAGGTGAAGCAGTGAGGGAAATGAGGTGAAGCAGGGAGGGAAATGCGGTGAAGCAGGGAGGGAAATGCGGTGAAGCAGGGAGGGAAATGAGGTGAAGCAGTGAGGGAAATGAGGTGAAGCAGGGAGGGAAATGAGGTGACGCATTGAGGGAAATGAGGTGAAGCAGGGAGGGAAATGCGGTGAAGCAGGGAGGGAAATGAGGTGAAGCAGTGAGGGAAATGAGGTGAAGCAGGGAGGGAAATGCGGTGAAGCAGTGAGGGAAATGAGGTGAATCAGTGAGGGAAATGAGGTGAAGCAGTGAGGGAAATGAGGTGAAGCAGTGAGGGAAATGAGGTGAATCAGAGAGGGAAATGAGGTGAAGCAGTGAGGGAAATGAGGTGAAGCAGTGAGGGAAATGAGGTGAAGCAGTGAGGGAAATGAGGTGAAGCAGGGAGGGAAATGAGGTGAAGCAGTGAGGGAAATGAGGTGAAGCAGTGAGGGAAATGAGGTGAAGCAGGGAGGGAAATGAGGTGAAGCAGTGAGGGAAATGAGGTGAATCAGTGAGGGAAATGCGGTGAAGCAGGGAGGGAAATGAGGTGAAGCAGGGAGGGAAATGAGGTGAAGCAGGGAGGGAAATGAGGTGAAGCAGGGAGGGAAACGAGGTGAAGCAGTGAGGGAAATGAGGTGAAGCAGGGAGGGAAATGCGGTGGAGCAGTGAGGGAAATGAGGTGAAGCAGTGAGGGAAATGAGGTGAAGCAGTGAGGGGAATGAGGTGAAGCAGTGAGGGAAATGAGGTGAAGCAGGGAGGGAAATGAGGTGAAGCAGGGAGGGAAATGCGGTGAAGCAGGGAGGGAAATGAGGTGAAGCAGTGAGGGAAATGAGGTGAAGCAGGGAGGGAAATGAGGTGACGCATTGAGGGAAATGAGGTGAAGCAGGGAGGGAAATGCGGTGAAGCAGGGAGGGAAATGAGGTGAAGCAGTGAGGGAAATGAGGTGAAGCAGGGAGGGAAATGAGGTGACGCATTGAGGGAAATGAGGTGAAGCAGGGAGGGAAATGAGGTGAAGCAGGGAGGGAAATGAGGTGAAGCAGGGAGGGAAATGAGGTGAAGCAGTGAGGGAAATGAGGTGAAGCAGGGAGGGAAATGAGGTGAAGCAGTGAGGGAAATGAGGTGAATCAGTGAGGGAAATGATGTGAAGCAGTGAGGGAAATGAGGTGAAGCAGGGAGGGAAATGAGGTGAAGCAGTGAGGGAAATGAGGTGAGGCAGGGAGGGAAATTAGGTGAAGCAGTGAGGGAAATGAGGTGAAGCAGGGAGGGAAATGAGGTGAAGCAGGGAGGGAAATGAGGTGAAGCAGGGAGTGAAATACGGTGAAGCAGGGATGAGGGGGAGAAAGGGTGGGCCATTGGCGTAGAGCATAGGGCGCAGAGCATGGGGCGCAGAGCATAGGGCGCAGAGCATGGGGAACAGAGCATAGGGCGCAGAGCATGGGGCGCAGAGCATAGGGCGCAGAGCATGGGGCGCAGAGCATGGGGCGCAGAGCATGGGGCGCAGAGCATAGGGCGCAGAGCATGGGGCGCAGTGCATAGGGCGCCGAGCATAGGGCGCAGTGCATAGGGCGCAGAGAATAGGGCGCAGAGCGCAGGGCTCATAGAGCAGAGCGCAGGGGGCAGAACGCAGGGGGCGGAGGGGGCAGAGCGCAGAGTGCAGGGGCGCGGAGCACGTGTACCTGTCCTGGCATGGTGGTGCCTCGTTCTAGCGCCCTCTCCACGCTGCTATTCGAATAGAATAGTGCGCGCGCTGGACGTTTGTGAGTTGACGCGCTGCTTGACGACCAGTGGCGCGAGCTGCGCGTAAGCCGGTGAGGGGGATGGTCGTCTCTGTATTTCGCGCGCTGCTACCCGCCCGTGGGCGCCCGGTGGCTGACAGAGTAGAATTGCGTAACCCTAAGGGTATGCGTATTGTGGACGCCCCCAGCGTGGCATTGCCCTAAGTAATAGGCACCTTCGAGCCCAATATACGTTCGCAATGCCCCGAAACCGTCGACCTACGTGCTGCCAGAGGCAATCGATGTGCCAGAGGCCATATCGCGCTGTATCGCGCTCTTCTCAACGCTCCTTCCTGCGACTCAGCATGTACGTTTTCTGGCATGTCACCTTCGTTTGCACGTTTCCTTGTTAGCTCCTGCGGTTATTTCACACGAAGCAGTTAGCTTGATTGATCGTGGTGTTCTTTCTCCTCACTCGTGTTGGTGCTTCCCGTTTTCGTTTTTGCTAGTAGTCGCATTGTGCGTGGACCTTCTCCACTACTTGAACCTGATTGGGTGAAGAACAATCCTTGCGACACTCCTTCCAGTCGCTCCACAGTGCTTGCAAATTCGTCAAAGCTGCACAGTGTCGTTCACCATCGCTTCACGTTTGGCGAGACTCCTTTCCCCCTCGTCAATCGATATTTTTCTCGCTACACTGACTTTGCCGAAATTCTTGTTTTCGAGGTTTCGCCAACACTATTTCAAACCCACATAACTTGATAAATTACCATGCTGACTCCGGGCTTTAATCGGACAGCGCCTATATCCGGGGCCATACGGGCACTTTCTAAGTGGCAACAATATGAGGACTTGAAATATGGAATAGCTCGTGTTCTAGAACGAGCTGTTTCCAGAAAAAGACAATCCACACAATCAACCTCCAAAAACAGTTTTCCAAAATCCAGATCTCCTCGCCCACCAGTCAGCATTTGTCATGCCGACCCCAGTGCCAACAGCACCATCACCAGCAACACCAGCAGTGGTACCAACAGCGCCCTCATGGTGCTGATGCCCCAAGCCCGTCTGCTGGTGCAACCGGTTTCGCTGACCGCTGCTTAAAGCCCCGCCCGTTGCTGAGTCAGCAGAGGAGGTGCCTGCAGTGCTTGTACTAGTGCCATCCATGCTCGCAGCACGGGCACTGTTGAACGAGTTGTCATAGTCCGAGTCATCGCTGTAGTCAGGCCCGCCACCCCACAGGGCTGAGGGCTTCTTGAAACACGAGAAGTCCACCGCAAGGCCGCCCCTGGTAGGGAGACAGGGACGGGGGGAGGGTGGAAGGGGGGGGACAGGGGGAGGGAGGGGGGGTATACTGGTAAGAGGGGAGTCACTGGTTACACGGGCTTACTTGTTCCAGCCATGGGAAAAGGAAAAACTGTGGAACCGTGTACTGCTGAATGACAGTGTTTGAAGGGTAACAAAGTGCCGCAGCCGCACCAGTAATGGTACCACGGTTGCATGGTAACCAGGTTACAGGGTAACAGGGGGCTTACTGGTTCCAGCCATGGAAGGCGAGGGTGGTGGAGGCTGTGGTACTGAAGGCATAGATGAGGTAGTTGGTGGCGTTGAGCTTTATGGGTACCGCTCCCTTGCCCACCTCCCTGGTGAACCTGCAAGGAGGGGAGAGGCAGAGGGGAGAGGGCAGATGGGGGATACGAGAGAGAGAGGTGTGAGGGGGTTAAGTCGGGAGATGGGAAAGGGTCAAGCGAGGGACAAAAGGGGTATGGCATCCCAACATTGACGGATCCGATAGTGAACACACTCGTTTGCTTTACAATCTTCTTACTGTATCTTCTCATGTGCACCAGTACCACGCCAGGGAAAAACACACTCAACACACACTCAAAACACGCTCTACACTCACTCAAAACACGCTCTACACTCACTCAAAACACGCACGCTTTACACACACTCAAAACACACTCACGTGATTGTGGTGCGGCCTTCAGAGGTGGTAGCGGCTGAGGTATTTCCAATAGTGAGTGCACTCGCTTGCTTTATAAGCTTCTTGCTGTAGCCACCCATGTGCACCCCCACCTGTCCTCGCCAAAACACACACACCCTCAAAACACACTCAACACACACACCACTCACGTGATTGTGGTGCCGCCTTCAGAGGTGGTAGCGACAGCAGTATTCCCAATAGTGAACGCACTCGTTTGCTTTATAAGCTTCTTGCTGTATCCACTCATGTGCACCGCAGCCACGCCAGGCAGGTTCCCGATGACCGCATCTGAGCCCTTCATCTTGCCCTTTCTGCCCGACCATCCAACGGCTATCCAGCCGTCCTTGGCTATAGTGGCGCCGCGTGCTTCTATGGAGAATTTGATGGTGGTGCTGGTGCTGAAGGTCCAGTGCAGAAGCATGCTGAGAGGAGGGGGACAAGGGAAGGGGAAGAGGGCGGGGAATCAGAGAGCAGGGAGCCAGCCTGGTTGAGGCTATAGTGGCGCTGCGTGCTTCTATGGAGAACTTGATGGTGGTGCTGGTGCTGAAGGTCCAGTGCAGCAGCATGCTGAGAGACAGGGAAATCAGGGGAAGGTAAGAGCACAGGGAAGGAGAGACAGGTAAGTCAGGGTTGTGGGTGGTGGATTTGATGGTGATGCATGCTAGTGCATTTGACTCACAACCTTCTCACTGCACCACTCACATACCACACGAGACTCACAGCCCACCCCTTCCCTTGCCTCTCACTCACAGCGTTCCCCCCGCTCACAAAACACTCCCTCCCCTCACCACCCACCCACACACCCACATATCACTCACAGCGGCCCCCCTAGCTCCGCTTCATAGTCAAACCCTTCAAGTGCCGACGCCGGGCACGCCACACAAGAATCACCACCCATCTCTTTCCTTCCCACACACCCACACCCCACCCCTTCCCTTTCACTCACAGCGGCCCCCCAAGCTCCACTTGGTAGTCAAACCCCTCCAGAGCCAACGCCGGGCACGCCACTACCTCAATGCTTGAGACTCACACCTTACCCCTTTCCCTTGTCACTCCCGTTCCTCTCTCTCACAGCGGCCCCCCAAGCTCCACTTGGTAGTCAAACCCCTCCAGAGCCAACGCCGGGCACGCCACTACCTCAATGCTTGAGACTCACACCTTACCCCTTTCCCTTGTCACTCCCGTTCCTCTCTCTCACAGCGGCCCCCCAAGCTCCACCACTTGGTAGTCAAACCCCTCCAGAGCCAACGCCGGGCACGCCACTACCTCAATGCTTGAGACTCACACCTTACCCCTTTCCCTTGTCACTCCCGTTCCTCTCTCTCACAGCGGCCCCCCAAGCTCCACCACTTGGTAGTCAAACCCCTCCAGAGCCAACGCCGGGCACGCCACTACCTCAATGCTTGAGACTCACACCTTACCCTTTTCCCTTGTCACTCCCGTTCCTCTCTCTCACAGCGGCCCCCCAAGCTCCACCACTTGGTAAGTGAACCCTTTCAGAGCTGACGCCACGCACGCCACACCCGCACCCAGCCTCACCACTTCCCTGCACCCCTCGCATCCCACCCTTTCACCCTGCCTGCCACACAGAACCACCCCCCTCCTTTCCGTGCATCACTCACAGCGGCCCGCCAAGCTCCACTTGGTAGTCAAACCCTTCCAGAGCCGACGCCGGGCACGCCACTCCCGCAGCCGGCGGCGCAGGGGGGGGTGACGGCGTGGCGGTGGGGGGGGGAGGGGAGGCGGAGGAGGCAGGGGGAGGCGGGGAGGCAGAGGCAGCGGGGGGAGGCGGGGGGGAGGGGTTGGCGGAGGCGGGGGGAGGGGAGGGCGTGGCAACGGGGGTCCCGTCGCAGGAGAAATCGATGGTGGTGCTGCCGCGGTTGCCCCCGTGGCCGTCGAATGAGGTGGTGGCTCCATCGGAGTAGCCCCAGATGGTCTTCATGGGTCCGTTCACGAACGTCACCTTGCTGCCCGTCCCCACCGTGCGGGAGAAGCTGTTGGGGGGAGGGGGGAGGGGGGGAGGGGAGAGGTGTTTGCGAAAGGTGAGGGGGATAGGGTGGGGAGAGTGAGCGAAAGCTGATCCTGCTGCCCGTTCCCACCGTGCGGGAGTTGTTGTTGGTGCGAGGGGTGAGGGGGGGTGGGGGGGGTAGGGCAGGAGGAGGTGGGAGGGGAGTGGTGGTGGAGCCTTCAAACTGGCCAGATTTTTTAGAATTCTCAAAAACCAGCTCTTCATGGGTCCGTTCACAAACGTCACCTTGCTGCCTGCTCTCGCCGTGCGGGGGAAGAGATGGAGCACGAGGGAGGAGCGGGAGGAGAGAGAGGAGGGGGGAGGGGAGAGAAGAGGAGGGAGGGGAACGAGGAGGGGTGATGGGAGAGAACTAAATTAGGGAAGGAGGAGGAAAGGTTAGTGGAGGAGCGCATGTGAACTGAAAAAGGTGACCACAGGAATGGTGGGGAACATAACACAAGTTTACTAACAGACAGCATGGCATGTGGCAGAATGAATAACACGTGAAAAGGGCGAAACGACGTGGCAGAATGAATAGCACTCACGGCAGTGCAATTGAACGTACGTGGCAAGTCCGGCGGAATACGCGGGCGAGCCGAGCGAGAAGGCGGTCGTGGCGACAACGTTGGAGCTGTCGTAGCCCGTTATGGTGTACGCGCCAATGTCCGCGCCCGCCTTGTGCGCGATCACGCTGTCCGCGGGGTACATCTTCCCCCCCGGCGACCACCCCACCGCGAACCACCCGCCCGACGCGCCTGCTGACGTGGCTTGTAAAGCCATGTCGACGGTGGTCCCCGTTGTGGCCTTCCAGTGCAGGACGAGGCTGGTGGACGGGGAGGGGTGAAACGGGAAAGGAGGGGCGAGGCGGAACGGGGGAGGGGGAGGGAAAAAGAGAGGCGGAAGGGATTAGGGGAAAAAAAGGGGGGGACGGAAACACGATTGGCGCTGAGGTGCCTTGAAATCTCGTCTTTCGCTACCAGGGGTGACGCACTCAAGCGCGAGAACATTGGGAGGTGATAGAAGGGAGTGGCACAAGGAGAGGGGGCGAATGAGCAAACGGGGAGGTAGCTGATACGATGGACGGGAGGAAGGCGCAGAGAATAAGGGGATCTCGATAGTGTGCGATGTTTTTTTTTTATTATTATTAAACGAAGTTTTCGAACCGCGAAGCTTAATGGGATCGTAACTTAGTGGTGGCAAAATGAAAGATCCACAAAGTATGCAAGGCATCTTTTCTTTAGTTAGTTTCCTCGCAAAGAACGCCGGAAGACACGCGATGTGAATCTCAAATCCTCGAAGTCCGATTCGCGACTCGCGATTCGCGATTTTCGAATATCTTCGGCATGCGCTCATAGAGGCGGATGCCGCGTTGCGGCGTACCCTGCTGTCAGAATTGTCGACGGCGTGTAGCCGCTGAGGCCCGAAGCGCTATTGGAAATTCTCAAAAACGACACGAACATACCCCTTTTGAGACGTCTCAAAGACGACACAAACATACCCCGCCTTCAGCGTTTTCGACGACGTGTAGCCGCTGAGGCTCGAAGCGCTGCACGTCGCCGCCACTTTCGGTGCTCCCGACTTCCCCCGCCTCCCCGACGCCGGCGGCGCCGGCGCCGCCGCCGGCTTCAACGTTTCCGTGCCGCCGAAAAAGAGCTTTCCGCCTTCAATCGACCCCACGGAGATGGAAAACGGGAAGAAGGACAAAATGGCGGGCGGGGGAGGGGCGGGCGCGGCGACGGCGGCGGCGGAGGAGGAGGCGTAGTTTGTGATTATAATGAGCAGCGTGAGCTGAAGCCCGAGGAGCTGAATGGCCATTGCTTAGAGAAATGTGTTTAAGAGATGGTTCAGATGTGTTTGAGGGCGAAAATGGGGGGGGAAGATGGGATGGCGGGGCGAAACGACTTGGTGGAAGGCGAGAGGATATGGCGGGGCGATATGGCGGGGCGATACGGCGGAAGGAAAAGCGCTCCTGATGTGTCTGGAGGGGCGATACCAGCCCAGTGACGACGAGGCGACACTGCGACGTCCTCTGCCAGCGACTCGCCGCCAATATCAGCCCAGTTCGGACGATCGTTTGGGCCGTCGTAGCGTAATCAATCTGCGTGCGCGGCCCGGAGGAAACTCGACGAAGTGAGCAACGAAGCACTGGAGAAGCCAGGGTCCACCACAGGGTGGGGGAGTGGGAGAGAAAACCACTCGAGCTGGATCCTTGCCGAACAATGCTGTGAAGGTCTACTACAGATGTCGGGGAGTTGTGCTGCTTTTTGCTTTTCTTGTTGGGAGGTTGAGGAATTTGCAACAGCAGAAACAGGAACACCGTAGGTTCGGAATCAAATCAGCGCGATTCGTGAACCAGGCCGAAAAGGGGGTGTACATATTGAGCCGAGCCGAGTGTTGCACTTGCTGGCTGGGGGAAGAGTAGAGTCTACACAGGCTTGGGGCGGCGGGGCAAAGCAGCAAGTGACGTACGGAAGGTCTAGGACATTTCAAACTTGATTCTTGTCTTGACATGATCGGTGTTCAATGTTCAGTCTCTAAGGGCGTATCTCAGTTCGGGTCATAAGGCCAGTTTGGGACATGCACGTTTGCCGTGTGCCCCAAACTACTAAAAATCCCACTTTGGGTCATCCGATCTCCTGAGACCCTCTGAGTGTTGCGCAGTGTCGTTAAGCAAAATCGCCCGCCAAAGCTCAATCGCCTCCAATGGGGGAAGCCAAAACAGTTCGCAAGATCATGGGCGGCGCCCACGCAAAACCACGCGTCACCCACCGGAAAAACACAATCGTCCAAGATTCCCTGCGTGAATTCCCAAATGTTGGGAGCGCGCCGCGGGAAAATTTAGACAGATCGAGCGTCAGTGGGGTCAATTTGCCGAGTGGTTGGGTGAAGAGGTGTGGGAGGTGTGGGAGATGGGGACATTGCCCACTTGTGACACTCGAGTAACGACAGTCTAAAATATGGCAGAAAAACCAGAATCGTGCAACCAGTTGATTGGTTGGGGATGGGTCGTGCAAGTCAGTCGCCCAACACCTGCACATTGACCCAAAGCTGGGGCCGCGCGCGGCTCGGCAGCCCACTTTGGGTCATGCGCAATTTCCGCATGACCCGAACAGAATGAACAGTGCTCATGACACGAGCTGAGATACGATGCTTGAATTCCCCTAGAAGCAGGGCTTCGAAGTTCAAGGCTCGATCAGGATGAATTTTCACTGCCATGAAGTTCCCTCCCAGGCTTGGCGATGAGTTCTGCCGTGGCTGTTACCTAACTATCGAGGTTATGCCGCAAGCTGGGACGAAGGTAAGGTGGGGGCGATGAAAAGCCTCTGATTGGCTTCCATTTTGGCGGTGATAAGAAGTGGCGTCGCCTTGCCTTCTGCGAAAAGCCACCCTGGCAACACATTTCGTACACACACTGTTCACATGTCGGAAACGCGAAACTCGCAGTGCACACGCCGGGCCCACACAGCGCCCACAGAGATCCCACACCACCAAACCCAAACCACCAATCACATCACACCCTGCCGAACCAGCCTCGCTCAATCTGTACCTACCATAGCTACCATAGCTTGCCTGCACGCACCAGAGCTAGTTTTCACGAGTCACTGTTAAAACCCAAGACCTGAATTACAAAAAAAGAAAGGCAAACTGTGCACAGTTTGCCTACCGAACCCACAGTTGACCTCCCGAGCCAGGCTGGTTACCAGAAAACATTGCACCAAGAAACACTGAGTCGTAGAGCAGAACAGGTTTGGTTGGCGAGAGTCCCAACCACACCCTCCTGAAGGAACAAGGCTCAAAATGTGCACAGTTTGCCTACTTCGGTAATTCAGGTCGTGTGATTTCCTTAGTACGCTAAGAGATTAGAGTATGCGAAGAGATAGAATAAAACGCCACCACAGCATATGCCATCAGCATTTTCACTTTTATTCCTAGCTCTTTCCCAAACATCGCATTTGGACCTATCGCCTTCCGCGCCCCCCACGATTCTCCCCACCGTCTCTCACACACCTCCCCACGCACACGTCCACTCTTCCCACCGTCGCCCAAGCTTTCCCCCACCGTCGCTCACGCTTCCCCTTATCGCCGCTCACGCTTCATCCAACCTTCCTCCACACCGTCGCTCACACCTTTCCCCACCTTCCCTCACGTTTCCCCTCTCATCGCCCACGATTCCTCTCACCGTCGCCCACGCTTCGGAGCACCGTCACCCACGCTTTCCCCGCCGTCGCCCACGCTTCTGTCAAAATGTTATAATTGTCTAGCCTGCAGTGGGGTACTCTATAGCGAGTACAACCCAATTAGGGTTTGTTATATGTATGCCAACTACTGCTAGTGCAACCAGGGCTGACGTTTCATATTAGGCCTCCCTGATTCCGGGGAAAAAAATTCCCCTCTATTATGAGTGCACATTTTTCAGAATAATGCTACTCTGATTGCTCAGGGTTGAAAAGTATATAACTCTGATTGTTCAGGGTCGAAACTCGAGGATCAGAGTAGTAACGCCCCCTTTGTTACAGGGGAAAAAGTTTCCCTCTGCGTAAAGTTTGCGCTCTGTGTTTCGCGCACATTTTGAGCGCGCTAAGTTCCACCCTTTTAGTGTTACGAAACGGTATTTATGCACACGTTGTAGTGGGGGGAAGCGATGAGCGATTTCGCTCAACCAAACATTTGGATTCGATACCTAAATGTGGCCAACATCGCTGTGCGAAACGCAAAATAGGTTCTGGAAACTTTACGCACACGCACTTACGACAGTGGAACAACTTATTCGCATTTTGTGACAATAACAAACATCGGGTGTACTCGCCTGTCATACATGTTGCTGTCCATCGCTCACGCGCTGGCTGTACTGCGATCAAACCGAAGGGGGATTATCGAAAGGAAATTTCCAAGAACCTTCCTCTCGATAAGGTCAAAATCAGGGACCACAGATTCGATACCCTATTAAGTCACGGTCCACTAACAGGCTAGTCTGTTACACTATATTCAAAATCAGGGATAGGAAAACTACTACTCTGATTTGAACAGGGTTGAGAACTCAGTAATTCTGAAATCTCAGTCTCCGCAAAGTGGAAAGTCTGAAATCACCCTGAAATCAGGGTAATTACCCTGATATCGTCAGCCTTGAGTGCAACCCCCTCTTCTTCATTCCCCATTCTTCACATGCTATCAGAGCATCTACGCTCCTAGCCTGTGGGCCCACCTAACTGCTTCCGCTGCTACTCTGTGTGTTGCATGCCCCGTGGCGTGCGACGGACTTTTTTCTTCCCCTCCTAGAGGCCCCTCTCACGGCCCCTCGCGCAACCCTTAGCGGCCCCGTCGCCACCCCTAGCGGCCCCGTCGCCGCCCTTCTCAGCCCCTCGAGGCCCCTTCGCGGCCCCGTCGCCGCCCCTAACGGCCCCGTTGCCGCCCTTCCAGGCCCCTCGCGGCCCCGTCGCCGCCCCTAGCGGCCCCGTCGCCGACCTTTCAGGCACCTCGCGGCCCCTTCGCGGCCCCGTCGCCGCCCCTAGCGGCCCATCGCCGCCCTTCCAGGCCCCTCGCGGCCCCTTCGCGGCCCCGTCGCCGCCCCTATTGGCCCCGTCGCCGCCACCAGCGGCCCCGTCGCCACCCCTAGCAGCCCCGTTGCCGCCCCTATCGGCCCCGTCACCGCCTCCAGCGGCCCCGTCGCCGCCACTTGCGGCCCCGTCGCCGCCCCTTTCGGCCCTGCCTCGACCCTGCCCCGGCCATGCTCCGTCGCCTGTCGTGGCGCATCGGGGGCCCGTGCACTGCCCCCCCCCCCC